AAGAGAAAGAGAAAGAGAGAAAGAAAGAAGGAAAGGGAAAGGGAAAGGGAAGAGGAAGGAGAAGGGGAAAAGAAAGAGAAAGAGAAATATATATATCACTGGATGTATGTATAAGCTGATGAAAGTCTGCCTGTGCTGTGCATGGCCACCACTGCCCTGAAAGCAGCGAGGGAAGCTAATGCCACATTTCTGCACCTCCCAACCTGCTGCTCTGTGAAAACAGAGTGGAGGGACCTGAATCGAGTGATTTCCCAACTAAAACAGGGAGGAGGCTTAAAAACCCCGTGAGTGGAAGCTCTCTGAAGGGATCAGCTAAGCCCAGTGCAAAGCCCACGCTCGGCCCTTGGAGTCTAGTTAACTGACAGCTTCTGTTACCTGAATGTTCAGCAAATCAGGGTCACTGTTAATTATTCAACAGTAAAATAATTCAATCTGAAAATCACTCTGGTAAGTGACAAACCAAGGTCAGGGCTTTTTATTTAAAAATGAAATATTTAATGCCTACTGCTGCCACCATCAGTAAATTCATCTGTCATTTGTTTTGAAATAATTTAAATTTAATATTATTTTGATACTAACAATTTGCTGATGGCTAGAATATTTCATCTGCAAGCCTCAGGCAGTTCAACCTCTACGTTATGACCTCCAGGATCCTCATCTAACAAGGGAGGAACCTGTGTCCCAGGCAGCTGAAATGCTAGTCTGAAGCCCTGCAGGAAGGTGAGGAGCCAAACCAGTGGTTCTGCCTCCCCTCTACACTCCTGAGAAGCCCATGGATGTCCCGGTGCTTATAGAAAAACCCAACTTATCTCCCTGTAGCATCTGTAAAAGAAGGTGACCAACAGGCAGGAGGGAAGAGTCAGGGATAGGAGCATGTAGCCCTGTGCTTGATGTTGGGGAAGAATATGTGAGGGCATGAAGAAGAGGGTAAACCAAGGACTTCAGGAGGTGGATGTCTGCACATAGCTGAAATGACACAGGTAGAAGAGGGAGCTGAGGTGAGGAGGGCTGGATGGCATGGAGGAGGTGTAGACTCAGCCAAGCAGGTCTGGCCAGGCCCTCTCCTACCTTGGTGGGCTGGAGATGCTCGAAGATGTTCTCTCTGAGGGTGGCCACGGCTCTGTTGGCATTTTGCTCCTGCTTGTACATCTGTGTGGTGGGGGGGATGGATGGGGCCACAGCTGCATTCAGGTAGGTCCCATTGCCAAAGGCCAGAATGGCGTTTTCTTTGTATGGGGAAGAGATGGAGAAAGGTGTTGTCAGGGCAATGTTTCCAAGGGAAAACACACGAAACCCTTCTCCAGCCTCCTCAGACTGCATCACCCAAATTCATGCCTGTTTTCAGAGCTCCGTTGTAGAAAGAACAGTGAGCTGGACACCTATAGACTAGAGGACCCAGGCATCTTCATCATTCCCAACGTAAGATGGACATGGAGCTGTTGGACCAAGTTCAAAGGAGGCCACGAGGATGATCAGGTGCTGGAGCACCTCCCGTATGGAGACAGGCTGAGAACATTGGAGCTGTTCAGCCTGGAGAAGAGAAGCTGCTGGAGACCTCAGAGCAGCTTCCCGTGTCTGAAGAGGCCGACAAGGGTGCTGGGGAGGGACCTTACTCAGGGACTT